AGACATTTTAACACGACACAGATGAACGTTTAAGTTATTTTCTTAATTTTAAAATCCGTGCTGTTGTGACTGTTCTCTTTCCCTCATCAGTCTAGATTTTTCCAACTTAATTTCTTTTATTTTCTTTGATGATTCCGTGCTTACCACTTTTCACTCCCGGTATATATGGATTTTTCCAGGGTGGGAAATCCTCTCGAAGATTCCATTTCTAACAATGCTCTAGGTTAATATTACCTTGTCGTTTTTCAATAAAATTCTCTATTGTTCACTATTCTGGCACGTTTCCTAGCTCTGCATTTCACATTTTGTTTTGTGTATGTTTTTAATTGTTCTCATCATCGAACCGAGTCCACGATGAGGCTATTGACAATAGTTTTGAATTATCATCATTGATCATTATGAATTTATTCGATTTCGTTGTGTTCAGCTATTACGGATTCACGATTTTGTATACATATGTAGGTCATTCAGAACGTAACTGCCAATACACAATACTACGCGAAGTGAACACTCCCGGCATCGGAAACTCGGGTGAAGGAAATCCACATACTTTGAGAATGTGTTGGCCTAATATGTCATGTACATACATTTCTTTCGCCCACAGAAGGCATGACCTCTGCGGTGCAAAGGGCAGTTGAAACAAAACGGCGGTGCTTTCAGCTCTGTGAACTTCAGAAGAGCAACGAGGAGCACTACGAGTTTTGTTGTCTAAGGACATGATAACGAGATAATTGCGTAAAACAATTATGGAATGGCACGGAAATAGGAGTGGGAAGATGCCTTTAAAAATAAACGGATGTCAGTCATTGCAAAGAATCCTCCGGTCCTAGGAGTGTCCTCGCAGCCCTTCGCCGCCAGATGGGGCGCCCTCCTCTCCGGGATAGCAACAGATCTCTTCTGGAGCATCCCGAAGAGTATGAAACAAGGAATAGTGCTCAATGCAGCTGAATGTTAGCTGATAAAGAAGCAGATAAAGTCAACAGTAAGTCGACGCAGAGGTCTTCTGCCTCGAGGCGTTCATTTCATTCCCCACGCCGCAGCACCCACCTTTGCAAGAATCAAAAAACTGAAACTGTAGATTCTAAAACTTGCTCCATACAGATTGGTTCTCGTTCCCTTAAAATTATCATATGCTATCACGTACAAATGAGGCTTTGAGACGCCGACAATTTGAGATCGTCCTCGAGAGGAGGATTCGGTGGATTTGTTGCTGAAGCCGCCTTCAAAATATGTGCCTTTTTGTGGAAACGCAAATAGATTTTATAAAAAAGTAACATATTTTATATCTGTTGTTGAAGTGATTTATTTAGCAAATATTTAGTTTGCGATACATTTTTAATCATCCAACAAGCTCAATATTATAAAAAGAACTTCAAATATTTCAAGTATTTGAAAACTAGTCATCATCTCACTATCATTAATTTCGTATCTGAATTTTTGTATTAAATTACATACCTTTATAACATATAATTTGTTCAGAAAATTCATGATAATGATAACAAGTTTACTAACATATTAAACATAAGATATTTATTCTTTGAAAATTCCTACCCTTTTCCTTTAACTCGCAATTCTGTTCTTTTTTGTGATCACTACATATTTGTAAGACGCAAAAGTGTTCTGCGTTTACTTTATATTATTCTAAACACGTTCTTTTGGAATTCACGTCAAATTATATTAACTACAGTAATAATTTGGTACAGCAGTTTGGTTTTGCCTGAAAAAAAAAACATAACACATCTTGAAACTTACGTAGAATTTAATTACATACGTACATTTTTTTAAAAGTAGTATAGGCATGCATATTCTTATAATTTTATTTCATATTATAATTAAAAACACAGAGTAATTCACAACATTTAGAATGATGAAAAGCACAAAGAGTCATTCAACCAAAGAACAAAATGAATATGTGCGTCGAGAAAGGTAGCACAGTAAATTCTTTCCAAGCCGGACCCTGAACAAGCCGAACATCTGCCTTAATAGGAAAAATTCTGTCGGCTGTGACGTTAAATGACACAGGATAAAACGGAACCTTTTCAACGCGAAAATTGAACCGTGGATATAATGCACTTAGCTGAGTAGTTGTGGTGGGACATACTCTTAATGAAATGGATCTGCGGGTCCCTTTCAAGTTCTTTGTACCTGTGACATGAAATTTCATCGTTGCAGCTGAGTTGGGGCGGGGGAGGGGGGCTCGAGCCGCCGCGAAAATCGGAACTAGACGCAAAGATAGATTCAACTTTTTACGTCGCATAATTTCTGACCTAAGGTCGCAATCTTGGCGCTGTCGACACCCGAGAATGCTGGAAAGTGGGTCCACCATCCGTTGAGATAATGCTTCGTTTCTCATGCCGTAGTCTATGATCTTCCCCCATAAGTCACATACAGTTTTTACAGTTTTTTGACTAAATAAATCTAAATCTAAATCTAGTCTTCCTGTTGCCCTCTGGTGTACGGAAAGTTTCACTCAGACTCGTGGGAAGGTTCTTTGACTCTTTGGTCATAGCTCTTGACATTTTGTGCATCTCCCAGCACCACCTTGATTGTTTGATTGATTGATTAGTAATTCAGGGTGCGCCAAATACTCAGATCATTAGTCCCATACTCATAGTGCATGTTTGTATCGCGGGAGGTGGTGGTGATGTCCCCCAGCTGGATGGCGAGATCCGGCGCCGACCTACGTCGGCTTGTGGGGTTTCTCCGCAACCAGGTATCTGCTACCATCGGGGCATGGACCCATCCAGGACAAGCTCGAAGCCCCCGGTATGTATGTTAGTGTAGTGCATATACGTGTGTGTGTAAATAAGTGGTGAAGATAGAACATGTAAGAGAATGGAAAATTCGCACACGGTCCGTAGCCCGCTTAACGAGTACTGCTCCGGCATTCGCCTGGTGTTGAGTGGAGAAACCACTCTTAGCTACCAATCAGAGCAGCTGGCAATCCTCCTCTTCGCGGCTGAACACGACCTAGCTCTTAAGCTTGAGTCGAAATCCTGCCACTGTCAGGATTCGAACCCTAGGACCTCACGGTCAGAGGCAATACAGGGATATCAACTTATGCTTTGAACCACCTAAGCCGGGGCACCACCTTAATAAATGTGAACCTCGGGCGGAATCTCATTACATGCCATGCAATAATGTGGTTAATGGAAAAATTCCCTCAGTGCACACGTATTCTGAATCCCTGCAATTTGTGCCACGGCAACAAAAATTTGCACTCATTGCTAATAACCCTGAACTACTGAAGAGTTCTTTAACTTCAAGAAACATAATTGAAAATGAGTCAGTAAGTAGAAAAATTAACAAGCAGATAATATTAGATGAATGTTGGAAACTTATAGTTTAGGGTACGAATTGTGATGTTTGTTCATTTTACATTCAGAAACTAAAAATATTTTGTTATTAATTATGTTACTAATTATGTGTTTGCATCTGTAAATGCATTATGAGCAAGTATTATTAGGATAAAGGTATGTAATTTTTAATTTTCATTACTAAATATTGGAAGAAGTTGTTGAAATGAAACGTTTATTGCTCTTGTAACCACGGTGTTTGGTACATCATATGTTTACGTAGAAGTAATGTTCACTGAGAGTAAGTTGAGAAATCGGTAATGATGATGCGATGTGATGATGGGCGTTGTGATGACGCTACGTTGCATTGTGTCTGGGAATCCCATAGATGTATTTGTATATCTTCAGAGCATTTTTTCGGATAATCCGAACATTTCCGAATCCAAACAGACCACACCCTCAATTAGTTCGGTATACCGGAGTTCTACAGTATTTCAAAAGCCTAAAAAATGGTCAATACTGCATAAAATTGAAAACTTCTTACATCGTATTTTAGTCCTGATTCCGCCTTAGACAGATTTTACTGTAAGAAGTAAGTTGTGGAAACAGAAAAATATATTTAAAATTTGTTCTGGTAAGAAACATAATTTACACATATATAAGACCTTATACATACATTTCAATGTTAAATACACGGAATAAATATTAAAATTAGCCAGTGCATTTCTCATGCTTCATTCAACTTATACTTTGCAATTTACTACCATTGGCACGCAGATATTCAACTGCAAATATAATTAGAAAGATGAGTCACATAAGTAGAATCAGGACGTCTTATCACATCAACATGCGACAAAGAACAGACATAACATGAAATAATTAACACATAAGCGAATGGGATGAAAGTTGATCTTTGATGACTTCAGAATCAAATTTTCCTGTTCATCGTAAGCCTCTTATCTTTCATGTTAAACTAATTTACAAAGTCTTAAAAGCCAAATAAATATTTAATTACACACGTATAACAAAAATTTGGAATAGTTTTTCAAAATTAAAAACTCTCTTTGCGGTACGTCTCAATAGTCAATCCTCAATTTTTATAAAACGCACTTGATTGATCAGCTTTCATCAAGACCGCACGAAGCGGTGACGTTGGCTGCGATTGCCAGGCCAAGAACGGGCGCGGAGGAGCAGAATGTAGAATGAATCAGTTACATTCACAGAGTGTTTTGATTACCCTTATGATATGCAGCAAATGTCAATATTTGTAACCAAGAGGCGGGAATATATATATATATATATATATATATATATATATATATATATATATATATATATATATATAAACGCATAAAGATGAGCAAATGAAAGTAACCGTCAGTTTGTGGTAATCCAATTTAATACGGAGAAAAATTGTAAATTTCTTAAATTATGGGATAGAATTGAGAGAGATTAACTTTTCACTAGTGACGTATATGAAGCCTGTATGTCCCACGTCCAAGCAAATACAATTCCTGTACAGGCAAATAATAGCAATAGGCTAACAAGGAATGTATTTGACTTCGAAGAAACATATTTGTCTGAAATTTTCAACAACGACCTATCTCGGAAAAATATTACAATAGTTGTGAAGGCTATTGAATAAGACAACTGTTATGTACATATCTTTCTATAATTGCTAGTGAAGTACTTTCAAAACAATACTCATGTAATTTGAATGACTACAAAAAGGACATTTAAGAAAGTTATCATTGACAATTAATGACAAATATGAAATATCACTGCTGCAAAAGGCCGGCCTGAAGGCACCAGGGTTTGAGAAATTGTGCCCAAATATGTTGCACTAAATTTGGCGTTGAAAATCCCGCGAAAGGCAATTATTTTCAATTGTAGCGCGATGTTCCCTTTCATTTTACCTGCGAGAGACATAATTTCTGAGACAATGGACCTACGGGCTCCAGCAGCAGTGCCGTTTAGGTGAAAGCCTCCTTCCTGCTGTTAAAGCCGACCACAGACCTGCATACGAGCAACATTGATTTCCAGATGGTGTATTGCCACAGACACGAGGTAAGACCGACCGGGGGACGTCCTTAGACACCGAAATGTGTGAGAGAATAACAAAAGAGAACGGATCATATCTTCTGCTGTGACGCGAGAGAACGTTTAAAGTAAACCCCAATATCATAGAAATTCTTTCGCGCAAAGCATTGAACTGTGTATTATGGGCAAACTATGTTGTTTTATACTTTATTTATTGCGATATAGAAACAATTTGTAACTCTGTAGTTACGTCTACTTTCTCAATATCAGGTCCTTCCTGAATTATGCATTGTTAACGAATGTGTTCATTTGCTCATGATGATGCATTAGCCTTTCATTGTTACCCATTCCCATAAAAATCTTTTCTCAGACAGACGGCGAAGCAATGCTGCAATCATTTTGTGAACTCTTTCTATCAGCGATGATACTTCTACGCCACAGTCATACATGTTTCTGTCTACTGTCCTTCGCCGGCTCGTGTGTAAAGGCAATATCGACCTGCTTAAGATTGGAATATTGAGCATTGAGCAATCAGCGGTGAATTGAACAGTACGGCACTGCATTACACACGTCTACATTGGGTAGAATCCGCAACACAACAGAAACGGAAACCATAATGTTATCACGAACGCATGGTCCGGACTAGCGAGCACACGGGTGCCACGAGGAGCTCTCTCGAACAAGGAAACCCTGATCTTCTAACAAGGAAATCTGATTCATAAATTGTCCCCCAATGAAGTACCATGAACCACCCGCAGTTTCTCCGCCTCCGAAAAAAAGACCAGACCGTACCAAATTTGAAAATAAAACGTGTCGCTCCACGCCCCGTTCCTGGCGCGGCAGCAGCAGCGGCCGCGGGCCTTACCTTTGGCTCCTTCAGCCGAGCTGTCGCCCTTGCTGCTGCATGAGCTGCCGGAATCAGGCTGGATTTGGGTGGGGCGGCCGTTGCAGCGCAGCGAGCCGTTCTGGCCGCGGACCAGCCCCAGCGGTGGCGCGACGTCGGGCAGCTCTGACAGACACGTGGTCTGCAACAGGAAGGGCCGGGCGCCGCGCGTTAGGTCACATGTCAATGGAGGCTGTAGAATGGCAAGTCAAAAGTCGATAACATATACCATTCATGTGGGCAAAATAATTAGGGACCCCCTAGTAAAAACAATGAGGGTTCTCCATCACCTTTGTACACCAAAACAAATTGTCAGCAGTGAGATGCAATTCGCTTACTCGCACTATCATAAAAGAACAATAAAACAAAGTTTTCAAACATAATACTTCTCTGCACTTACAATATATCGAAACCATTCTGATCTAATCATATACAATACTAACGGTGTTAATATCACAAAAAATTATAACATTTGTGCTCAAAGGTACATTAAATGTGCGTTGTGTGATATGTGGTAGCTGTAGCACAGTGAGTGTGTGTGTGTGTGTGTGTAAATAAGGGGTGAAGGAACGACAAGTTAGAGGGAGGAAGAATTGCGTGCGGTCCGTGGCCCGTTTATTACGGCATTGCTCCGGCATTCGCCTGGTGTTGATCGGAGTAACCACAAAAAAACTACCGGCAGACTACCTCAGAACAGCCGGCAGCTAGAATTCTCCTTGAGCAAGCAGCTAAGCCACAGAGGTAGTGTCGAAAATTCTACATCAGGAGTGAGAGCCTAGAAACTCCCGTCACAGGCTCTAGAGACAACTGCAATGCTCATTCTGAGCTAAACCCGTCGGTCCAAAGCGAGACGTGGGAGGGCGGGCACGTGTGTAGGGAGAATGGGTTAGGAATCAAGCACGGTGTGGCGCGAGGCTCGAGGAGGTTGGAGGGAGATGGAGGGGGCGAGTCGGGACATGAGTTCGTGCCCTGAGCCACCTTAGCCGGTTCGCAGCTTGGAAAAGTGAGTGAGTATTTTACGTTCCTAGGCGCTGAAACTACTCTGGTGTTCAGTTCCAGTGTGGTGGACGTAACAGACCAGGAGGGGGCGGAGTTGCCCCCACGCTGGATGCGACATTCCGGGTCGACCAACACCTAGCGAGGTCGAAGCAACGTATATCGATTCCGCGAAAAGCTTTACTCTTGCTAATCCTTTCTCATTCATCGCGTAATTATTTGATACACCTACAATGCATCTGTAAGTGACTTCCCGCCACGGATATTAAAACTGCTATTTTTTACGTCTGTATTTGTTACGCACTGCGAGGGAAAAAAGGAAATAAATTTTGAAAAAAAAAGATTAATTAAAATAAATATCCGCTGGCTATCCTCTATCACACTGTTTGAAATGATATTATGCAATCCTGTCTGTGTACATTGGTGAACAACACAAGCCAATGTGTGAATATTAGTAAGTATGCTTCAAGGTAGATGTAAGTGAAGTGGAACAGCCACCACAAGTGAGAATTGCATTTCGTCATGACAAAAAAATACTCTTTAGAGCAGGATGAGTGCGATATTATAGGGCTGCGTGCTGCATGGAAGCTTCTAACAGTGAACTCGCTGCATCTGTTTACCTACCGCGCTGTTCACGAAAAGAGGTTCTGAGAGACGAATCTGAAAATGACGGGGTCCAAACCATGCTGACTAGACTTCATGAGGTATGCACACGTGTGTTACATCAATCTCTCAATTTCCACTACTCGTGGGTGATGTACTAGAAAACCGGTGTAATGAACTAAACTTTAATAGTTATTTCTGCACCAAGGGCGTTACGAGGGTTCGAATGCTCGAGTGGCGACAAACAGCCTGAGGGCCATTGGCGAGAGGGCTTTTTGTCGCCCGAGATAATTAGAACCAGTTAACGCCCATGGTACATACATTAATTTATTTTTGACCTAATTTTAATGATTCATATTTACTTATTTACTAGTTCACTCCTCGTTAACTTGGCTCGGTTTGTCATTTATTATTTCCCTCACATAGTTCCCTCTCCTAATTTCCTCTAAAAGACAACAAAGCAACAGATTTCATATTTCTCTCGTCACCATGATCCAGGAAAGTTATGCAAAGAATATCGAGCTCCTTACCGAAAGCTATAAAAAGCAATAACGTATCAGAAAAAATAAAACAACTTTTGCGCTATCTTTCAATTTAAGCACTGTCAATTCATTGTAAAAGTAATATTTCTTCTAACAGTTTAATATGATCTTCTTGTGTGACTTCGTATCCGTTCAAATATTTTCCAGAAAAATTCCATTTTAGATTCACATCATTTTGTTTTTGGTAATACATTCTCTACTTCGCACATAATAACTGACTACAGTATTACAACCATGTTTCCTACACAAGAGTTTGCTTCATTGTAACAAATATTAATATTTACTCTCTACTCCGCAGTAACCATACGCTTCACACAACGGCCATGAAACATGAGGCATTAACTATTAACCAGGCAGCATATCAGTTGCTATAGTTACTGCTTTCTCCTGTAGTTCACGAGTGGCTATGGAATACATAGGCATCACACAATTAAACACAATTTAAAAATTAAAGATTAATAATTATTAACACGACAAAAGTGGGGATTGTGAACATTGGATAGATTAGTTATGAATGCTGGAAAATTAAACCCTCTGGGTGGAAACATCTTTTCGCGTATAATCATGCAATTAAGTATTAAAGAATTCAAATACACTCGAAGCGTTCTCAATATACCAGACCAAACAATTGTACGCTTGAATCACAATAATGATACCCATGCGGCGCGGTAGGAAAAGCTAAATCCTCCCACATGCCAAGTTTCAAGATTCGACCGCCGTATATTTAAATTAAAATCCACGAGTTCACTCAATTCTATAATCGTTCCCAACAATAGACCTGTATATCTGGAGAAAAATTACATACATTATGAAGTACGTGCAGCAAAAAGGAAGTGCGTTTCAATATACTATGACATGCTATACATGCATCATGTTGCAGCGCTAGGTGGGGAAATTTATAGGCCAGGAAAAAGGCGCTTAGGGAGTAACCCTCAATATGTGGAGGCGGTAGCAGTGTAGGCGAAACACCATCAGACCAGGACACTGCGACTTCGCTCCTCCCCCCCCCCCCACACACACACACTCACAAATGCTTTGTACACGGACTAGCGTGTGCATGGAGTACATTTCAAGATGCGTTAGAGACATTGCTTTGGATTTGAGAGCGAATTAGTCAACTGGTAACTGCTAGTATTAAACTTGTCTATAAGTAAAACGTATGGTCGTTCCCTGAGTACGCTGTTTGAATAAGGAAAGTATCACAATAATAGGACAACGGAAATTGTATGAAATCAAAAAGTTATCATATATTATTCTATTAATAAATATGGTAGTGTTTATAAGTTTTAGATATATTTTTTGTTTTCATAACATTTTGCATACGGAAGATGAGTACCCCACTGATGAGTTTCTCAGCGGAAGAAAGATTAAAATAATATACATTTCAATAGGCGCTTTACAGAAGCTCAATTATCAAATATAATAAGAAAACCAACTCTTCAGAATACTACAATACTTTTCGAACATAACATTTCAAGTATGAAATGACGAAGCAAAAAAATAACAACAAAACAAGAGTAAATATAAATAAAAACCGTCATTTACCGCAGAAAATTGGAAAGTTTGGTAGTAATCATAAGGGCGATGTACTCCAGTTCAGAGCGATCATTACTGCAGATCCAGACGGGCGTAATTTCCATTGCAGAGGACCTAATGCTCCTGAGAAGCAATTCCGCGGCCGCCTGAATAATTCTCCCCGTGACCGCGCGGGCGCGCCGCAGTGCCCCCCCCCCCTGCCACCCCCGCGCCAGTCGTGGCATTAGTGTCCGATGACGTCGGCCGCGAGGTGCTCCGGGTGGCCCGGCCCTGCTCACTACTGTAATCGTTTCCCGCGTGGCCGAAAACCGCGTGCAACTTGTAATACACGTGTAAGCGGCTTTAATTGTCGGCCACGCGCTCCGCAGCTGCCCTGGCCCGGCCCGGCTCCGCCCCGCGCCGCCCCGCCCCGCGTCATTCTACTCCGCTCCGCCCAGCGTCACTCCCATTTCCTGCAGCCCTGCGTCACTCCGCGAACTTCCACCCTCCTTGCCTGACTCCACGCCGCCACGCGATCCTCCGCGTCCCTCCGTCACCGCCCCTCCACTCGGCACTCCACACCCCCAAGAAGAAGAGCGAGAATTACCCAGGATTTGAAGATTCACACAGACCGTCGGTTGGAACGTAAGATTTTGGCTTTGAAAGATTTTTATACCGTTCGTAAGACCGATGTTTGTATTCGAGTTCTGCATTCACAATGCGTTATTTTTTAGTCATGAAATATTAGGACTATTTAACAAATTTTTCATATACCACTTTCGGAAAATCATCCAACAAACTTGCGGAACTAATGTCCTTAGCAGTTAACGCGCCCGAAATCTCTAACAATCAATCAATTTAGGCAAAATATAGTCTTTTATTTTCAAAATGTACAGACAAATATATTTGAATGGTGAAATAATAAGTTTTTATTTTTGTTTATTGATAACTCTGAGGACGACTAGCGACACATTAACTAATTGTAAAAAACATGAATTTTCAGGTAAAAGTAATTTGGATTGGGAATGTTTTGTTTTGAAATGCTCGCCTGCGTCTCGGCAAAACTTCACAGTGTCTAGACTCGTGAGGACATACCAAGGCCTTTCTCATGTTGTTGGTCCTCTATTTACCAGACGCACATTTATGAATTAGCTGAGACCGCAAATGCCCCCGGCAGAATAATTTCCGAGGATGACATTTTTAATAACAAATTTGCCTCCCTTCTTTTTGCTGTTTTTTATATATTAAAGTTTGGTGGTGATTCTAGTGAGAAAAGTGTTGTTTTACAACATACTTAATACATTACGCTATAAGAAGTATGAGCAAAAAATCAGGGGGCACGGTGAGGGACAAGTGTCAAAATATGCAGCATATTTGCCGATGCACGAAGTTTCTGATACGCTGGAGCAATAGTTCTGGTTATGTATTTTTTCTACAAACCTTGCTTAATATTTTTTCAGCTTAATACGCGTAAAAGTCGCGATAGGGATTCTGAAGCAGAAGAAAAAAACCCCAAATTATACTGCTTCCCAAATTTAACTTTTTTTAACAGTTAAGAATTAATTTTTCAGCGCCTCAGATAGCTTACGAGATCAACTAATGCCATTGCGACAAAGGAGAAAGCACAGTAAACTACCACCGGAGCAGCCAGCAGCTGGATTCTTCAGACAGCGAGCCCCCTAGCGAGTGTCAAACATTTTGCAATCGTGGCAACTGGAATCCTGGCCAGAGTCGCTGAAGAGAGGCAATGCTGTCTCTGAGCTAAACTGAGCCGCTGCAAATGGAACAGTATCAGTTATTTAAAATTAGTTTCATGATAAGGAAGTTATAAACTAATGTAAAACGGTTTAAATAAAGTTCTTTCATTCTCTGTTGACAAAGCAACACAGTGAAGGGCAACTGACTGATATTAAGGGAACACAATTTGGGGGTCTGATTTTAGTCAAACCTCAAATGGAAGGTTCATTTAAAAGAATTGAACTACAATTAAGTTCATTATGTTACTGATTCAGAATTATTTCAAATTCAGCCTTCATACTACTTGTTGTTTCTTCTACTTCTCTAATGTTAATGCCCGTCTGAGATATGACATAGTATTGTCAGAGAACAAAATACTAAGTTTACAGTCTTCTATTTGTCAGAAATGGATTTGCACGAATAATAAGAAAATCACAACGACATGATTCTTATAAGCCTCTCTTTTTTAAATTAGTAATACTATTGCCTTGGCTCTTTATTTACGGATCAGTGGTTTTTGTCAAAAATGACTTACTCAAGTAGGAAAGCGTAATTACAAAAGTAACATAGGTATAATATATTCTGTGTCAATAACTCACTTACAAACAACCCATACGCAACTACTTTATTTTACATACATTGCCAGATAGAATTAAACGGTCGTCAAATCGATACGCAAATTGAAGTGCCAAGTAAAATATTTTATACTGCATGACATTTGCTATAAAATTAGACTCTACACTTAACCTCACAAAGGTAAATGCTATTGATTATAAATAACATATTAATTATGACTGGATATTAGGTATAT